AGATACCTAACAACAAAAACAACTACCCACCCCCCTCTTGAGGGTGGTGGTTGTTGTCATGTGCCACTGAGGCGCTTGCGACTCATAGCGACCCTGTGTACAAGAGCTCTAAACGCTGCTCTATCCTGTGCTAACCTCACAGTCTCAAACACATTCATTCCCACCACCCTAATCACAGGATCGATCCATCTCATCAAGGGTCTTCCTCTCCTGTGCTGTCCCTCCACTCTCCCAAACATGATGTCCCTCTCCAAGGACCAGTCCCTCCTTGCAACGTGCCCAAAGTATGTCAGATGAAGCTTCAGAATCCTTGACTCCAAGGAGCATTCTGGCTTCACCCTCTTCAGGACAAACCTGTTTGTTCTCCTAGCTGTCCATGGTATATTCAACACTCTTCTCCAGCACCACGGCTCAAAGTCATCAATTCTCTTTCGATCATCCCTATTCACTGTCCAACTCTCTCATGCATAGCATGTAATTGCAAAGACTATAGCCTGGATCAGGCGCACCTTAGTCTCCAGCCTGACGTCATTGCTCTTCAGTACTCTTGAGAGGTCCCTCACAGCTGACTTTCCCAATGCAGTTCATCTCCTGATTTCCTGGCTGCTGTTACCAAGAGTGTTGACTGTGGAACCAAGTGAACTAAAATTGTTAACAATCTCAGTCTCTTCACGATCCATGCTGATGCTGCCAGTTAGCCCAGTGGTGAGAATCTTTGTTTTCTTCATGTTGAGCTTCAATTCATGTTGGAAACTGCAGTCCTTGACTCTCTGCAGCAAGCGCTTCAGGTCCTCCTCGGTTTCAACAAGCAGGGTAGCTTAGTTGAAATGTCCTTTTGCTCTATGGATGAGATTTTCCTGATATTTTTAAGCTCTCTATAGTTGAGCGCTTTGACCTCACACTGATTCTCTCATCTTGGCTTGTATGTGGTCCATGTCCAAGGTAAGATGGAGGCTTCATGAGAAACATGGGTTCTCTGTAAAGGACGGTTATGAGTGCGGACCCTAAGAGTGACTCTTCACAGAAATAGTTGATATTTTCTGTTGAGTTGGCTTCTATTTATGGTGACCATATACATAGTACGATGGCCATTGCTTTGTCCCGTGACATCTCCGTGATCTTATACATGTTTGGTTCGTTGTTGTGGGTACTGTGTCCACCCATTTGACCACAGGAAGCCTGTGCTGTGACCTAACTGTGATCCCTCTCTGACATTTGGATCCACCAGCTGCTCTTTGGGAGAAAGGTGGATAAGTTCCTCTCAGGCAACTCAGAGCCTTTGAGAATCTGCTGGAGGTCATCTATACATGAGTCAAACAATGGGGTTTTGTGTTTCTACTTTACTAAACATGATGTCTTTTTCTAGAGATTGGTCTTCCTGAAGATATGTCCCAAAGCCTTAGATCATCTGCAGTATCTGAGGGACTTTGGAATAAAAAATAAATTTTGGTCAGCCTCTAAAGTCAAGTTCAGGAACAATTCTACTCGGCCAAGTGGTGTCATTGTCTTAGAAACAAGAACCCTACAAGGAGGCCTGCAGTCTGTGGGCGGTGCTGTCTGTGCTGGCCTCCGGCCTCTCCAGGCTGGCCTTCTGGTTGGAGCATGCAGAGTCGGCACTACAATTCCCTTTCCACCTTTTCACAGATGTGTGCATGCCTTTTCTGGTTAAAAGGAAAGATTAAATTGATACTGAAGTCCCCACAAGACAAGGGTGTCTTCTCTCCCACTTTCTCTATCGCCTCCTCTCTGCCCCTTTGGTTGATTGTTTGAAGGAGTGCTCGCCTCCCTGGTTTATTGTTCACCTTGAAGTTGTGTCTGTTGTTTGGCTGAAAGCTGGACCACGAGGGTGAGGTCGGTTCCAGACTTGAAGGATGACTAACATCACAGACTTGGGGGTCCCACCAGTGTGTGTTACAATGGTCTGCCTGGTCTTGGGGAGGGGGCTCTGTGATACATGTGAGGTGTTGGGGCTGGTAGTGGTTCCACCTTGGTTTCCATCAAATAGCCTAGAGAATGTGTGGGTGTGATTTGTGATCAGAGTTCTAGAAGGTCACGCATGCATGCCATTTCCCCAGAGAACCACAAGTTCCTATCTCTTCCTTATCAGTCATGTTGTATATGTCCCGCTCTCGTCCTGAGGTGGATGGACACTGTGTCCCTCTTGTGGAAGGTGTCCTTGGCCAGAGGTCTGCCCACATTATGTTGTGCTGTGTGTCCGAGGCTCAGTCCTCAGACTAGTATGACCTGAGAACTAGGTGGCCACTAGGTCACCTCACTATTGAATGGAGAGACCTGGGAGGAGAGCGGGAGAGGTAGGAGCGGATGGGACGCACAGCACGGCTCCTCGTCCTGCTGGCGCCATTTCCCCTGGAGCCTCATGGTTGTGGGCCTCGAGGTACAGGGCGGAGAGGACCACTCCACTCCTCAGTTGCCCTATGACCGGGGTCTCCCCTGCTCGATTATCCTCGAGTCCCTGGCCTTGGAGGAAGTTTTCCTGCATTTGCAGGCAGTGTGTTAGAGTTTCCTGAGTTTGTTCATAGGCTTTCTGTCTGTTTGCTGAAGAGGGGCGTCCTAGCAGACCCGACTGGCCTGCTCTGTCTTCCTGGGCACTCTGCAGATCAGCAGGAACTTTCGAAGACCCCACAGGCTACCCACATGTTTATAGTCAGTCCCTGGCGATGACTGACAGACTTATGGAAAACCCGCATGGGTTATGAACCATTTGGCTGTAACCAATCCTGCAAAGCCTCATGTGGTAAAATTCCCAGTAGATGCAACGGCTCGTCATAGCGAATGGGCACTCTTTGGTGATACTCATCATGTAAGTACTGGTGTAACAGGCAGGTCACCAAGACAGCCCACACACCCAGGTGAAAGGGCATGGCGCCCAATCAAAGGCCGGCAGACCTTGTGTCTACACTCACGTCCGCAAATGCTGTGTGTGTGTGTCTGGTACTTAGCAGAGGAGAGGGGGCGAAGCTGTGCGGCCTTCTTAACCTTGACAAACCATGAGGGAGTGAGCGCTGGTCCTGGGGCCTTGGAACCACAGTCCTGGGACACAAGGCCAACCACGTGGTCTGCAGAGACTCTGCTCTGCATTGGTGCGTATCAAGCTGGGTCTTCAAAGCTCGCGCGGAGCTGTCCAAGCCTCCTCTGACCAGCCGCGGTGGCTCCACAGAAAGGCTTGCTGAGCTGCGTCTATAGGGACGGCAGCCAGATGTCCCCACGGGGCCACTCTGCTGTCACGTGGCCACTGTGAGCACAGTCACCACCACAGCACGGAACAGCAGTCTCACCTGGGTGCCTGCAGGTAAAAACAGCCAGCTCTCTGCTACGGAGAGGCTGGAGGTTCGAGGCCACAGGGATGCCACAGGCCTGGGCCCCCTTCACATGTCCAGGTGGAAACCTTGCGAACACGGCTCTGACGCGGTCTCTGAGCATGGTCTGCGACAGACCTGCAGGATTAGCTTGAGCAACTGACCTTCTGCCCTGTGGCCCCACTGTCCTGAGATCCTTGGGAATGTTCTCCAGGTCTTACAGCTTCCGCTGCATCCAGCTTGGTTACTGCCACCTCCTCCATCGACTTCCTGTAAGAAGCCTGGTGCCTCTGTTTTACATGAAATTTTTTCATTGGGGGGTGAGGCGAGTAAAGCTGAGGGGCCGCACGCTGCCAGGACCCCTAGCAGCCGGAGACGAACGAGCAGGACGCTGGCCGCTGGTCACTGCACAGAGACCAGACATGGACCACTGCCAGGCCCCCAAACCATGCAAGCCTCAGACTCCAGTTGTGGACAGAGGGAAGCTTCCAGATTATCTTGGACCTGGGAGTGTGGGCGGGGTGAGGGCACAGAGGGACCTCGAGGAGGGCCTAGGTGATTCCGCGACTGCCCAGACCCCTGGCTACAGCCCTGATCAGACCCTGGGGGTCTCGGCCTTTCTCTAAAGGAAGCAGCTGGGCACATGCCCTCTGCCCTCTTGATGCACAGGGGCCTCCAGGGCAGGATTCCATCCACGGAGCCTCGGGAGGGGATACAGGAGTGGGAGGGATGACCCTCTGGAGGGTCTTGAGAGGGGACAGAACGAGGGACAAGACACAAATCAGAGCTACTTGGATTAAGTCAAGCTGTGAGCGAGCCGTTAGACGCTGTGGACCTGGCCGTGGCACTGACGTGCAGCTCTCTGCAGTGTCTTTCAAACACCAGTTGTGATGGGAACCAGCTGTTAGATCCAGGAAGGAAAAATAATAAAAGGAAAAGAAAAGAAATGAGCTTCGGATTCAAAATCATCATCATGTCTGTCTTCACAAAAGCTCTGTGTGCTCCATTCTCCTCCAGACAAAGCCGCACAGCGGGCGGGGTCAGCCTGCATGAAGGCATTGTCAAGTTCAGGGCGGCGGGGGAGGGGAGGGGGAGGGGAAGGGGGGAGACCCCTCTCCCAGAGCGGGGAAATGCGGCTTTAAAATGGTTTAGAGGTGCAGCCGAGCGGGAGGGGGCTGATGGATGTTAGCCTTTGCCCGGGGCTCTTGGTCTGCGGTTCCAGGTGGATCTCAGCCCTTGTTCAAGGCCGAGGTGAAGCCCATAGTTAGTGCGTCCTTCCCAGGTGTCTGCATGGACAGCAAAGGAGGCGCTGGTCAGGCGCTCTAATCCCCATTTACCCTTGGTCTTTATCAAGGTCTCCCCACAGATCTTTCTAGAATGAAGATAGATCCTGACATCACTGTGGAAAGCAAGCTGACCCAGGGCCTGAGAGACATGCCTTGTTGCCCGTGGACTGGGGACCGGAGGCAGCAGTGTGGCTCTGTGCCCAGGAAAATGCGTCTGTGAGAGGGTACGCGTGTGCTCCGGGGAAGGGCTCGTGGCAAAGCACCCGCAGAAGTGTGGGTGACAGGCCTGTATGTACCTCCCTCCTGCTGTTTAATCACTGTCACAGCTCGCCCAGCCCTGGTGACTGTGACAGGCACGGTGATGTCTGCAGAGCGTGCTCCCTGTGTTACTGCCTCCATGACGTGTCTGCTCCGGGGCCTGTTGGAGAACCCGGTCCAGCTCGACAGGTCCATTCACGTGGCCGGACATGTCTCCTGGGTGAGGTCTCACGCTGCATCTCTTGGTGGTGGAAGCCAGGCGGGTGACGGACTGGACTCACCAGCTTCCATGGCGCGCAGACAGGTACCTGCAGTGGTGAAATGACCAGAGGGGCAGCTGTGGGTCGGTTCCTACTCTACTGTATACAACAACAACAACAAGCATTTCTCTCTATCTTCCAAGGATCACCCACGATTGATTCCAAGCTAAAAAGAAAGACTATCTTCCTTGTGGTGTGGACCTTCACTTTCCGGAGGAGAGACCACGCTGTGCTTCTTTTCACCACTCCATTTCTAGGAGACAGCCCTTCCTGCGGCCCTGAACCCAGGATCCTTGGTGCTACAGAGTTTTATGTGCGTAGCTGTGAAATAAAAGATCAGTTGTTTAGACCCACCAGCCATCAAAGATGTGCAGTCTGCTTCCACAGAGACCACAGCCTTGGTGACCCCTTGGGGAAGCCCCATTCTGTGCCCCGGGGCCACTCTGATCAGAGCTTCTTCATTGGCACTGGGGTGAGAGGACTGGGCACTTTTGTGGACGTGCATCGTTCCTGCACGGTCAGGATGTAGACTGTTGAGCCACAGTCTCCAACTCACTGGCCTCTTACTGAGTGGGGATGACCTCGCTTCTCCCAGACCTGCCAGGGGTGATAGTGTACTGGGCCTTGTGCGCAGCAGGGGCCAGGCCCTGAAGAAGGACATGCTGCTGGGACAGGAGAGGGTCAGTGAAGAAGAGGAGGACTCCTTGACGAGGTGGGTGAGTGGCTGCAGCGGTGCGTTCAGTCCTGGCAGTGCTTGTAAGGACGATGAAGAATCGGGAGCGCTCTGTGCTGTTGTGCGCAAGCTTGATGTGAGCTGGAAATGACTCGGTGACCTCGAGCACCACCACCACCACCACCACCACGTAACACGCCACCACCACCACGTAACACGCCACCACCACCACTACCACCACGTAACACGCCACCACCACCATCACCACCACGTAACACGCTACCACCACCACCACGTAACA